AATTATGTGCTTCTGTAGTTCGTGTTCTGACAGTTCCAGAACTCTCTGCTTTACTAGATTCTTTGACCGAATTATGTGCTTCTGTAGTTTGTGTTCTGACAGTTTCTGCTTCTTCAGTTTCAGAAATTCTCTCTCTGTTGGTTTCCACATTAGATTTTAGTTCATCATTCTTATTGGGAGACAACTCATCACCAGATAGAGGTTCAAGTGGCTGAGGAAAGATGAAACTTTCTCCTGTTTTACCAAGTCCAGGAGGAGCGTTAATATCTCCAGTGTTCTTGAAAAAATGATACGGTTTTACCTGAACCATGTTAGGTGCAAAGTTCCACACGTCTTCTCGGTCATCGATGATACACACCATAGAATCACCACAGGGAAAAAGTGCCCTGAAATTAAGCAATAAACATAAGCCTACAAATCTTCTTAGTCACTAAGTGCCATAGAATCACCGTAGATGAAAAGTGTCCTGAAAATATATTAACTCAAATCTTAGGCATTAATAACATACAATATTGAGTCAAGTGTCCTGAAAATAAATTAACTCAAATCTTAGGCATTAATAACATACAATATTGAGTCAAGTGTCCTGAAAATATATTAACTCAAATCTTAGGCATTAATAACATACAATATTGAGTCAAGTGTCCTGAAAATAAATTAACTCAAATCTTAGGCATTAATAACATACAATATTGAGTCAAGTGTCCTGAAAATATATTAACTCAAATCTTAGGCATTAATAACATACAATATTGAGTCAAGTGTCCTGAAAATATATTAACTCAAATCTTAGGCATTAATGACATACAATATTGAGTCCAATGAAAATTTCAGTTCTGCAAGAATGAACCCTGAAAACAATAAAATAGTAACGTGAACATTTTCTAAGCCTAATATTAGTTATAAAAATCACACTAGATTGCAGATGTTTTTTTAGTGCGACAAGTTCTAGTATTGAATGAAAAGCCTCCTGGGGGTGGTAAAAAGTTTTAAAATACTATTTTTATATGCTTTGATATAAAATCTGTACTGAACAAATTAAGAAGACATATCAGTTAGGGTGTTTTTTTATCACTAATATTCTGTCTACTGGTTTCATTGCTTCACTGGCTTGTTGCATTTACAATGATACAGTTCATTGATTGTACATAACATTAAGTTAGCAAGAAGAAAGAATGTTTGGGAAAATATAAAAGTTTAAACAACATTTTCTTAATATTTATTATCAATGAGAGAGAGAACACTGATTAATTGATCAAAACTCCTATCTAAACAGCCATCAAAACCCTAAACCATTGTTACTGTAACAAAGACGTTTCTGTTTATGAAGTCTCTGTGTAGGTTACTGGTAGTATGCGTTGAACCAGCTGCACGTGCCTTAACTTTTAACGTTCTACAATATCTGAAATCAAACAATTACCAGGTTGCTTATATCAAGATTTATCTGTTACTCTAGGATAACCACCAAACACATTTCAATGTAGTCATACTCCTGAGATTATATTCCAGTCCTACAAAATTAACTAAATAATTTAAATGATATCTTTATTAAAACTGAGTGATTAGTGGAATTTGGTAATTGATTAATCGTTGGGTTCATTAGTCATTTACCTTCAATTAATTATTCTCACATGAGAATTAGATAGTTGGAATAATCAAGAACAGTAACGATTGGAAACACTAATTTTGATCACTTTAATATTTCCGTGAGTCATGACGATAATCCATTAAGCTAAACAACCTTGAAGTAATGAAAAATAATAATAATAAATCATAATCTCAATATTTCGATTATTTAAACAGTTGGAATAATCAAGAACAGTAATAATCAGAAATACTAATTTCAATTAATCCTATATTTTAAATCATACCCGTCAACATAATCAATGCTCATACGTAATCGATTAATCTAACAAATTTTCCAGCTCTAGTTCCTATTAGTTACTAATTGTTTCTGAATAACATTTGACAATTGAATATTGTGGTTTCGACTTTTGAAAGACCAACCACTAGCAAATGTTACGTGGTAACGGTGTGAACCTTTCGTCTTGTACGTATTCATTGATATCATGTTATACGTAAAGAACGAGTTCCGTACTTAAAAAAAAAATTAAGGTACAATACTTCAATTGAATTATGATGAAATATGAACTGACATTCAAAGCAAGATGTATTCAAATCTTGATAAAAAAAAAGAAATTATTGTGAATGTAAATACCTGACAAGAAAAAAAAAAATTTGGTCGAAAACATTCAATAAACAGTCAGGTTCTTAGATACTCAAGTCCAGTGCACCCATTTACAAGTATTAACAACACACATTAATGGTTGGAGATGGCTTGAATGGGTAATGAAGAAAAACTTTAATAAAAGTTTAACACAACAGAAAATGTACAACGTTTCGACAAGGTTTTGTCATCATCATGGGGATGACAAAACCTTGTACATTTGCTGTTGTGTTAAA